GTCAGCCTTCATTACCATCCCGCGGGATTCATCGCGTTGCTTCAGCCTTGCTGAAACGTGTGGTGGACATCGTCGAGGGCGACGGGCAAACTGTTTTGTGTTGACTGGTAACACTATTGTCACCGGTCGCTGAAAGGATCTTGAGGATGTATGTGATGGGTTCTACAATAGCTTGGCAGTGAAGAGGCTTCATTACTCGGTCATCGAGATTTGAGCAAAGGTGTTTGTCTTTTGCGTGAACTTCAGTTTATTTTTATGAGATTAGCCTGCTCACCTTTGATATTAACAGTCGGTGTTCTCCCGAGCATTTTTACCTTATCCATAATCTTTGACTGCCTGCTCTTTCTCTCAAAGATGTCCACTCATTATGTCCCCGCAAGCAAGCTTCCCTGTTTTTTCAGTTTTTTGACGATCCTTCGTCAGTTCCTTCCGAAGAAGATTATAACCTTCTTCGCTTCTACGATTCGTGCACTCGATACGCCAAAACCATCCGCAAGAACGCAACTCTTCTCTCTGAATGGTATGCCTTCAAGCATGGTCCTGAAATGAAGGAGGTTCTGGCTGAAGTGGTGGCTGACAACAATCTCCAGAATATGAATATTACCCTTGGTGAGGTTCCCTTCATGTCAATTTCGCAGACTTATCATAATAAAACAGGAATATTATACATAACAATAGTAATGTAACAATAATATAATAAGGAATAGTAATATTTTGCCTGTCCTCATTTTCTATATCCTAGACGACCTGGAGGATTTTTATAAAATGTCGTCACACGAAACTGCTGTTCAGCAAGCCGATGAGGAAATTAGCGGATGGTTGAAACTGTTTCGACCGGAACACTTGTACGTGCTGGAATATCTCCACGACATGAAGGTTGGTTTGGTTTTTCGTAGTCTGAATCTTAAAGCGCGCTATCTGCAGAAAACACCCTTCCCTTTCCAGAGTTGTAGTACGTAGCCGTTACTCTAGCAACGAACTATGCCCAGTAATTTGCCTGTCTAACGCAATTCCGTCTGAAAGTATGACATGTACTTTAAATTCCGAAAAAAACATACACCAGTATACAGTTGTAGTATTTACTACCATACAGCATAATTCTAGCTTATTTCATTTATTCCACGTGGCAGCCTTGGGAACCAGCTTCTTTCCCGTAGCCCAAAAAACACGAATGCAACATAAAAGGATAACTTACGTGGCGTGAATTTACCCCAATTACTTTGCACATTCTTTACAAAGCATATTTGGCATATTATTTTTTATAATTATTTGACCGCCAGAGGAAGAGTTTAGTCCGGCCACCACTCTAGCCATCTGAGCTATAATAGCTTCACCGAGAGACGTGAATTTAATCACACTTGGGCCAGGTTATTAAGCAAGCCCACTGCAACGCATGGAATCTGAGAATTATGAAACAATACGTAAACTGAGAAGAAGGCAACTTGGTTGCTGGGACAATACTTTTATTCGCCTGACGTTTCGACATCTGCTGCGGATTCATCATCAGAATATCATTAGCATAAAACAGTAGCAGAAACGGGTGCTACCGTTTTATGCTAATGTCTCTGATGATGCATCCGCGACGGATGTCAAGACGTCAGGCGAATCAAAGTATTGTCCCAGCGATCGAGTTGTCTTCTTCTCCATTTCTTTCTGGGACTCGTATTTTCGCTTGTATTGGCAACTGCGTTAACTTCACAAGCAAAAGCTTTCGAGTAATACATCTAGCATCCATCAGGTGAAGACCAGGTGTAGTTAATTGAAAACTGTATTTGATCCAGCTATTAAGACCTCATCAGCCTCAAGTTTTTAAAATAAAGAGCACACATTTCTTTAAGAACACATTCTAAGAACCCAGAATTTGAGGAAAATGCATAATTCTCAGGCAATTCCTTTCTTACACTCTTCTTACAGCCGGTATCTAAAAGTGAATGCAATATTTTGATATAAGGCTGCACAGTAATAAGTACAAAAGATAGTACGCTATCCTAGTCATATTGTTTGAATTACAGACATATTTGATCTCCCAGGCATACTCTGTGAATAGGATAATATAACGTATATTGTCCCCTGTACGGGTCTAGGTAGTGGTTGTGCCTAGATCACTACAATCATCAGATCGAAGTCCCCAGGTTGGAGGTAAAAGGCAAGAGTCATCAGAATGAGGGGTTAATTGCATACAGAACTCCTAATTGCCGTCCCAAGCGGCACTTGCCACTGGCTATGCCAGGGCTGGACCTGACTGCGTCCAGCCAGGCCTGAGAAGGACGAC